CCCCGCCGAGGCTCCGCCGCTGCCGCAGGCGCCGCTCCGAGCCGGAGCTGCCGGGCCCCGCCAGGCCCCGCGCGACCCCCGCCGCCATGGAGCTGGCGGACGGCGTGGTGTACCAGGAGGACCCCGGCGGGCCCGGCCCCGCCATGATGTCGGAGCGGGTGTCGGGGCTGGCGGGCTCCATTTACCGCGAGTTCGAGCGGCTCATCGGGCGCTACGACGAGGAGGTGGTGGCCGAGCTGATGCCGCTGGTGGTGGCCGTGCTGGAGAACCTGGACTCGGTGTGCGCTCACAGCCAGGAGACCAGCGTGGAGCTGGAGCTGCTGCGGGACGACAACGAGCAGCTGCTCACGCAGTACGAGCGGGAGAAGGCGCTGCGCAAGCAGGCCGAGGAGGTGAGCGCGGCGCTGGGCCGGGGCCTGCCCGGGGCAGGGCGGAGCGGCAGCGCCGGGGCTGGGGGCGCGGCAGGAGGATGAGGAGGGCGCGGAGTCCCGCCCGCTTCGTGCGGCTGAGGCGCGGCGGGAGCCGTCCGTGCGGGTCCGTGTGCCTGCGGTGCCCGAGCCGCTGTCCCGCAGGGATCCTGCGGTGCCCGAGCCGCTGTCCCGCAGGGATCCTGCGGTGCCCGAGCCGCTGTCCCGCAGGGATCCTGCGGTGCCCGAGCTGCTGGCCCCCGGTACCCCCTGCCGCAGGAGGGGAGCCGCAGACGTGGAACCGTGCGCTGTCACGGCCACGCTGTCCGTTTTTGCAAAAACACTGACACCGCACTGCAAAAGCCATGGGGATGCACCGTGTGTAGGCTGAAGCCTTTCGGAGTTGGTGCATAAAGCTGCAGGCAGCAACAGGTGGTGTGGACTCGCCAGTGATGTCGGCTCTGATTTAGGGTGTTAGACGTTTTTATTTTGGTGTTTGTACCAGGAATCATTTCAGCACAAACAAGCTTGCAACGTATTATCTAATATGATATTATAAAGCAATACAGTAGGAAGCAGCTGTGCAGGATAACTTCCTCCAGCTCATTGTCTTGCCAAACTCCTGAAGGAAACTGGATTGGCAGCAGTGTCTGCAATAGAAAAACCATCTTACAAATGTATTTCCAAACCCCTTGTCCTGTGCTAATCTCTCTGGTTGTGCTTGTCTTCTAAATTTTCCAAAAATCAGAAGAACGACTGCACTGAGGGTGAACACAGTATGAACAATAAAAGCTTAATTTAAAAAACACTAGCCCTGTACAAATACTTTTTTGTTTCTGTTCTAAGTGAGTGCAAAATGTTGCCTGCAGATTATTCCAGGACTCAGTTGTTATGAAAGACTGTGGTATGAATGGTGTCCCCCCAGCTCTTGGACTGATAGATCATTCATCCTCCTTGTCAAACACATGGTGGTTTTATGATGCCTTATGGACTCCAGTCAGGGGACTGGAGTTGCCACACTATTTCTGACACAAGCTGTTGTAAAAGGGACTTTCAGAAAATATGTTTATATTGAGAGTAATATGAAGAGATTGATAAATACTTTCTGAACTAATTAATGAGAAGATCCATCAGGCTTGAAGCACAGGCAGTATTTGCCAGATCAGAAAACAGGCCTTGGGCAGCAGGACAGAAACCGTACCAATGTGATGAAACAGAACATGGAGCTAATTTTGTTGTTGTAGCTTTTCAGGAACTGTATGTGCCTGTATTGGTAGTGTGCTTCACTGCCATCTCCATTTCTGTGTCATGATAAATTCACTTGAGAGGACAGGCTTTATGCAGTTGAAGAACCAATGCTCATGCTGCAAGACACCTGGCTGATCTTTCCAAAGTGCAGTTAGACCAAAGACTGTATTTTCATGGTAAGGACAAAGGTCATTTTTGTGATGTGCTGAGGTCATTGAGCTCTACAGATGGGAAAGTCTTAGGAACAGCCTGGTGTATTCAGGAGAGGCACATGTGTTAGTCAGGCATGGTTGTTGAATTATTTTTTCGATGCTGAGATAACCTGATGGGTGCAGTATGGTTGAAATAAAAGGAGGGAACAGAAATTTAACACTATTTTCCTTGGACAAAAAGTTGCTGGCTTAGCACGTTTCTTTCGTTTGGAGTTTGCCTCTGTCATGTGGCGGCAAAATGGAGAATTTTGAGCTGCTGAGTTCTATATTTATTATCATCTGTTCATAGATTCACACAATGGTTTGGGTTGGAAGGGACCTTAAAGTTCGTGTCACTCCAACCCCTGCCACGGGCAGGGACACCAGGTTGCTCCAAGTCCTGTCCACCCTTGGGCACATCCAGGGATGAGGCAGCCACAGCTTCTCTGGGCAATTAGCACAGCTTCTTTTACTTTCTGCTTGTTGTACGAAATTTATTTGCACCAGTATCTTTATGAACATTAAATAGTTTACTGTTTGTGTAGGGGTCTTCTTATCCCATGTTTGTAATTTGCCTTCTTTATTTCCTGTGCTTAAAAAGTGTTATTAAAGAAATATATTAAAAGTTGTTGCCTGTGGATTTCTGGAATAATTTTTTTTAAAGTCACCCTGACAGAATTTCTGGGCCTACTTCTTAACCCTCTGGGTACAGCTTTGATCTTTGTAGTTGCTGTGAAATCACTTATCTGACTTTTCACATGGTAGGTTTTTTGATACCGCTGAAGGAATAGAGGAACCAGCTGCTCTGCTGTTCTGCTTCTGGTTCTTACCTTTCCACTTGGTGACTCTGAGGTAGCAATTCCTGCCCCAAAGAAGTGGAAGAGGAACCACCATTTGTGCTTTTGCCATTTTTTACCCTGATAAGAGTTCCTTCTGCAGCCATGTGCTGTTTCACACCTGCACTTGTAGCTGGCCTGTGTTTTGTGTGCACTTGCAGAGAGGATAAAATCTACTCCATTTAGCTATGCCAAATTAGGATATCTTTTAGTTTTTCTGCTGTTGGTGGGATTAAGCTGTTTTTGAAATCTTTGGCAACTGTGAAAAAGGATTTACCACTACTAAAATTGCTTTAAGTCATAGCATGAACTTGATGTCTGCTTTTTCTTACTGTTCCCAGAGGTAACTTCTTCATTAGGATTGAATGTTGACTAAACACTGTGCAGTAAGAGTTTAAGTATTTTTAATTTGAGGAAACAAAACCGAGTTGCATTTTACAGAAAACTTTCACTCTATTTTACAGCTGTCAGGTTGTTTTCATTTTAATATATTTTTGTGACCCCTAAGTCGATCTGAACTGGCTTTTTAGGGGATTTTTTTTCTCCCTGCTGCAAGAACTTGCCATTGGCTGAGAATCATTGTTGCAATACACATTGCTGAAGGACGTGTCATAGAGTAATAAAGATTGCCAAGTGGGTGGGACCCTGACATCAGATATGCTCAGCATTGCACCTGGTCCTGTGACAGGAAGACCAGTCAAGACGTGAAGAGACAGAAGATGACATAAATATAGGAAGAGATATTTCATTTGACTAATAATGTGTTACTGAGTGGTTGTGTGTAGGACAGAGGTTTCCAAATGTGCTGGGCTGCTGTGCAGTCTGAGTTCTTGTTTATTCCAAAGACCTCTGCAAGCTTTCAAGTAGGTTTAAAATTGATTACATAAATATTTTGGACTTTAATTGTGTGGGACCTTCTACACTTTTTATATGAGGTCTGCAAGAACAGGTTGGACAAAAGTCTGAAATGACACACGTGATCCTGCCTGGAGAAAATGGGATGGATTAAATGGGAGTTGCCAAACATGGCTGATGATGGCATCTCAGGTTGGGTTTCAGTAGCAGGCACATGCAGGAGCAGCTCTGCATCACATCCTGTGTTACACCTCATCATAACCTAATCAAAATTAGGATCCAGACATCCAATGCTGAGCATCAGAGCCTGGAAACAAGATGACCTTTTAAGGATCATTTCCAGCTGTATTTTCTGTAATCTTATATAATCTGGTCTGGTTGTTTTAAAGACAGGTTGGTGTCCTTCAGCTTGCTCTTAAAAAAAAAGTACCAAAAATCTCACTTCTCACACTTCCCATTAGAGTTGCAAGACACATCTTTGTGGCCCAAACAGGACATCACTTAAATTGAGGAAAACTAGATTTTTGTCTGCCTCAGTGTTTTGAATAACCAGTAGCTGGGTTGAAATGAGAGGATGACTATTGAGTGCCTAACGTGTTCCTACATATGCTGCTGGATTTACATTAAATAGTGCAGGAGATAAGTAGTATTTGAGTGTATCGTCAATGTAAATTAAAAATAAAAAGTATTTTAATATGGGTGCTCAGCCTGTCCTTTGCTGCTCTGGTGGTTTATCTCACTAGTTCCTCTGTCATACTTGTGCAGGCTTAGGGTGTGATGATCAATCAGCTGGGGCTGTGTCTGTGATTATACTATCACCAGAAGGAGAAATGAAACCAAATAAAAATAAACAAAGTCCAAAGTTCTCAATCCCAAGATCTGATCAGGTATAGTTTACAGCAGGGGAGGGGAAAAAAAACTCAGCTGTAATTACATAAATGCTTTAAAGTATAGTAATGTAGATTTGAACTTTAACAAAATGAAGGTAAACTAGTGGAAGGTAACAAAACCGTTCTAGGCAAAACCAGTTTTACCTCTTGCAGTTGAAGAACTTGAGAGGAAATACAAAATTATATCTGTCTGTAGTTTCATGAGTAACAATGACATTGATGGCTCTGAATGGCTATTTGTTATTCATGAGTATAATTTTCCCTGGCCTTTAGCAAGCTATGACACATTTTTGGGAAATCATCAGAGAAACAACTAAACAAAGATGTTACAGTTTTATAATTCTTATTTCATGTTTTCCCATGTTTAGGG